CAAGCTCAATCTTTTTTGCTCTTACAGAGCAAGCATTCCAGGTGACGATACTTAGCGGTTTAGACGCCATACTGGATGATGAACTTACCGAGCACTTGGATCTGTTCGGGCTTATTGCGGCACTTACGAAGAGCACCGGACATGTTGACGAAAATTTCCATCAGTTCATCCGCTGTGAACAGATCGGGGTTGTTGTTTTGCGCTGTTGGTTGTCTCCAGAATCCAGGGGGGGATGGAGAGCTTTGACCAGCAGAATCACCGGAAGCTTCTTGAGGGGGGGCGGGTTGCACCCGCGAATTCGCTTGCCTTTGCTGGGGAGCACGAAGAGGCGGAAAATCCTCCGTCCTGAATGATGGGGTTTTGTCCTTCTTGCGTCCTGGTTGATTGTTGCTTGACGCCAGCTTTCGGATGCGTTTGAAGTCCTCGCGTTTGGAGCACTGTCTGTCAGAGCCTTGATGTGCACCACCACAGTTAGCGCATTTTATCGCCACGGCTCCATCCGCAGGGCAGTTGGAAGTGGCGTGTTCTTGAGCGCAGTTGCTGCAGCGTGGCTTGATGTTGCAGTTGCGGGTACCGTGTCCAAAATTGAGGCACCTCTGACACTGCGTTACGTCACGATGACCACCACGGTATGGCTCCCACCGTACGATGATGGAGTAGATCGATCGGATGGCTTGTAGCGCATTGAGCGTCACCGTCCCTTTCTGGAAGTGCACCAGGAAAAGACAATCCGGGTACGTCTTCACGTTTTCATCTCTCCTTGTCATTCGGAAGACAGCGATTGGGGCTAGCTTGTACCGGTTGATTTCGGCTTCGACCATCTTGGGGTCGAAGTTTGGTAGGCCCCTGATGACTACCTTGAAGGGCTTCTCACCGGGGATGTCGTGCGTGAAGAATTCCGCCTTGGTATCCTTCAGATATTTCACGGCCACTTCGTACTCCGCTTTGGTTCGGAGCATCACCTTGGTGCCGATCCTGCCGAGCTTATACTCAGCTGCAACGCCCAGCGATGAAAGATCGCCAATCAGCGTGTTGAGTGGGACTTGCTTCACCACCAGTGGAGGAAGCTTCATTTTTGCTGCACTCGGGCTGGCAGCAGTTTCGTTGTCGACGGCGTCACCGAAATCACCAATGACGCTGACGTTCGTCGCGGTGGCATCGTCCCGTCCACTCGCACCATCGGACTGGCCTTGATTTTTCTTCCTCTTCTTAGACCGCTTCACCGTGGCTGAGGTGGGATTCCCTACATCGGTGGGAAGAGTAGCGTACCTATTCGAAATAGGTACACTCAAGCTACCCTCACCGCTGTTCTTCTTCTCTGTTTTCTCTCGGAGCCTGCTCCGGGAGCGCTGTCTTCCCATCACACGACGCGAATAAACGTTTGGAATAACTATCGAACAACTCGACAGAGCGAGCAAATACCGGACTGTACTGCTTGACGAACAAGCAGAGAATCTCTCTGAGCTAATGCCATACAGCAGCGCTCTTTTATATCTTTTCAGGTTAAAGCAGAATGTTGTGCAACCAAGTGGTATAAAATCTACAAAGACTCCTCCCATTATAAGTAGTTTGCTATCAAGTAGCGACAGTGGCTCTTTTCCTTTTGCGTACACGGCGAATGAGAACGACCCAAATTTGAGTTTAGTTCACTCATAATCTCCAAAAGTGCAGGAACTCAGCGATGAGTAAATTTGTCTCATGGTTTCCTGTGGAAAACCTCAAAAATCTGCCAGAAAATGAGAAAATTGACGATAATTTTATTCAGTCTCGGAGTAGTACCAATAGACTGAGTGAATCCAAGCTTTACTTCTCAAATTCGGGAATTTTTCCCTGTAAAAACCTGGGAAACCATGAAGCAAATTTACTCATCGATGAGTTTCTGCACTTTATTTCTTATTTCTGAGATAACTAAACTCAAATTTAGGTCGTTCTCATTCGCCGTGATATCACCTTGAAAGATATCGGCGCCGGAAAACAGATCTCGCGTCACTTTTCAATAGGTCCTATCTACATTGATCGAATCTCTTCAGGGGGGGGGGGGGGGCAAAATCTTTCTCAATTTGTTACATGTTCCATTTTCGGTTTTCACAAAGTTTACCCCCATATGGAAATCATAGACGCAGTCCTACGTCAAAAATTCCATTGGCCTACTGACCTTAATCCCACGTGATGCTGTATATGTAGAGATTGGTTCACTCCCTTTCAACCGGTACATTGCCAACATCATCTGTCGAAGAGCGATCGGGATAGCTTCAAAGACAACATGTCAGGGAGGGTTCCTCATAGTGGAGACTAATAAATTCCTGATGAAATTTGTCAACCAAGAGCTCCTCAGGAACGTGGAACGAATGGTCCAAGATGGCTACCTTGGGGAACACCGGATGTCACGGGGAAGGATGAAAAACATAGTCTCCAATCTTGACAGACATGTTTTGACCAGTCAGGTAAGTAGCCATCGTGAATAACACCTATTCTGTCGTATTTAGCCAACGTAATGTGGTTCATTTTGCCAAATGCTGCGGAGAGGTCTGTGTAGATGGCATCTACTTGATGGCCACGTTCTACTTCACGAATGATGAACTAAGTGAACGTAACTAAATTGGTCGTCGTGGAACGCTTAGGCATGAAGCCATGCTGATCCGTCGAGATACAGTGTGCAAAGCTTTGAACCAATTTTTCGAGTATAATAAACTCAAAAAGTTTGGAGGTAGCACTAAACGAAGCTATTTCACGGTAGTATGAAACAGTTCTTTTGCAGCCTTTCTTGTTGATTGGGAACACGAAAGACTCTTTCCAGCAAGCTGAGAAAACTCCAGACATAAAGAAGAGATTGAAAACGTTGGCTAGAGTTGTCGCGAGAGCATTCAGGTAGCATTTGAGAACTAACGACGGTACGCCATATGGACCGGAGCCCGTTGAAGATTTTAGCTGCCTCCCGGCTGAAATAACCATTTCGCTGGTGGTAAAAAATGGATGGCTGGAGAAAGTTGATGGAGAGACGTTTCTAGACGCAGAAATTACATCCTGAGTCGTTGAAAACACTGCTGAATTGTGTGCGAAACAATTCGGAAATACCCACGATAGAGTTCACATCCACTACACCGGTCGACATACTTGAGGGTAGTCCGTTTTCCTTGCTTTGGGCATTCACATGGCGCCAAAAGCTCTTAGGATGTCATTTCAGACGACCCTGAAGTTGGTCTTGGTGTGCATGGTACAGTTGGTTGTTGAGTTAGGTATTTGCTGTGCTTACGAAGAGCAGCCTTTTTTGTTCAATTGCTTAAGCTCTGAATTCGACCAGGCAGGTTTAACAGGTTCGCGACTGATTCGCTTAGGTACGAATTGATCGATTGCGCACAAAAGAATGTTGGATGTCGTCGATGCGACGAGGTTAGAATCACAGTCACGCAGTACCTCTTACCAGTCGACATTTGAGAGAAAATCATTCATTTAGCTGAAGTTGGCTTCGCCAAAGCTATAAAGGACGCTCTATACAGTGCCTTTGAAATTACGATGAACGTTGAGCTTTATGCTCACCAGTAGAGAAGATGTTGCCTACAGTTTTTAACAAGCGGGGAGGGCGCTGATATGTTGGAACAATCAGTGCAAATCTCCTCACTTACAAAACAGAGATCGAGCATGCAGTTTTTATGGTTTGAACCGGAATTTTCAGAGAGTGGTTTTCTCACATAATGGCACAAATCGGGGGGTTGACCCGTTAAAAATATCTGCCATATAAACGTGGGCCAGTCTAATAATACAGTCATATAGCATAGCCCTGCAAGTCATACTAACAACGTAAAAATAAAGTGTGTAAAACATGGTATGAAGTTAGTTATGAATTTAATAATTTCATGTCAAATTGAAAGTTCCCAGATTCGAAAAATAGGCAACTCGTTGTAAGTCAATACTGATTAAGTTGAAATATAAGTCTCGGAGCACTGCATTATCTATTTGGAACGCCCTGCTAGGTGTTCTAAGCTTTGACACAATTATGCAATTTCAGCGCACTGCTGTTGATGGATGCTTCAGTCATCTTGCATCATCCATTCATACGTATGTGAGTAGTGAAAATGCATCGTTGCTACCAATTTTTCACCCACTTTAACTAAAGATGTGAACAGCGTCATCAGAAGCATCCCATCCAACGCCCTCGCATCACATTGCATCGCTCTTACGCGGCGGGAATAAGTATGTTTGCAAACCATATGGAACTCTTTTGCAGTGCTTTACGACGTGGTGCAAGATGCACGGGAAGTGGAAGAGGGTGCATGGAATTTAATTTATCCGTAGATTTTTCATCCTCCCGGTGCAGATTTTTCTTCTCGTTCGCTCCAAGGATCCATGAATAAGGCCAACTCAAATCAGAGCAGCCTTGCGGGTGATGATGAGCGGGTGGTGCTGGGTGACCTGGGGGTGTATTATTTGTCATGCTGTCTTCATGTGGAAATCATTTTAATGGAACAATTCTCATCATTTTCCGGAGAATTTTGATTGATCATCCAATCAACACTAACATTTTATTGATTCATTGATATTAGTCAACCGGTTCTGAATGAAACTCATAAATTTAAATTATATTTCATGTTTTAGTGCAATGCGAAGAAACCAATGATTTTAAAGGGTAAGGTCTAAGAATATATTGTAAGCAGGAAACGAGCACCGTACAAAACTCTTGAGCTTTCCTAGATTAAATGTGAATGGAAGAAAGTTTCCAAGCAGCTCTTGTTTGAAAACAACATCGAGAAGCTGCGAGATTGTATGCATTTCACAAATGGGTCGTCAACAAGAAAATTGAAAGCAGCTGCTTATATGTACCGACTATGAGTAGGCAGCAGTTACTGTACATGGTATAATTAGAGCACTTGTGCAACTGAAAATTATGGCATGCAAAGCTCTTGAGAGACCACAAAACATACCTCCCTGAACTGACTCCAAAAGCTAACTGACTGCACTCACTACCATTTCATTACAATTTCAATGCTTTCCTTATTTTTCAGATTCAACATACACTAATTACAGAGTCATAAAAGGTAAGTGGTACGCATGAACCCCTATAGAAAACGTTATCCTTACCACTGACCTCGAACGAATATCATCCCGACACAAAAAATAAACTCCAACAAAAAGTCGAGAAAGTAAATCCGGGAAGTTGTTCACCGCGATTCCAGCAGCAGTTTGCAAACTTGGTCAATTTCATTTGGGTCGAAGGAAGTTCAAACGAAAACAAACACCGGCAGCGTGACAAACAAGTCGTAAAATGGGTTTCTTCCCGATTCGATGATGATGATGATGATGCTATAATGCCATGGAAACAACAAGTTGGCAAAAAGTAAGAAAAGTAATGAAAAGTGGAAAACGATCCCCACTCATTGCGGGAAGGCAATTATCGGGAAGGGTTGCGAATCGATTTGGTCGATTTGAGAGAAGTCTCGATACGAGCTTTGAAGGCGAACCAATTAGGAATGATTAATTTGTTGATGGTGAACCCGTTTGAATTTCGGCAGAAAAAAAAAAGAATTTTTATTGAGAAGGTAGACTATTTTTTTTTTGTGTGTTAACAGGGATTAAATAATTGAATTTCAGAGAACAGAGAAGACAAACAGTGGAAATTTTGGATGCGAATAAGGCTTCTAACGCTGCTAACGTACCGCAACAATAGGGCTGTTTCCCCTATCTGAAAATTTCAGCGCATTCGGATGTAACACGATCTGACGCTTTTGGCTTAAAGTTCATATGGGGATTTTAGTTGAAATGTATGGAGAAATAACATCCCTTCAGCACCGGTGGCATGAGGCATGATTGGCAGTTAATTTCATATAGATGAGTGTGTGGTAGTTTGTATTGTCTACTCATTAAAATTATATACGAAAGAATTTTGTCTTCAAACTGTCATGAGTAAAAATATTCTTTAGCTGAATTTGCGCAGCTAAAAATTCCGAGATTTCTGTATATTGTGACATTGAGTGAATCTAATCGTTGAAAATAGTGAGCTTAGAGCTGGGGCAAGACAGCTGTACTCAGAGTAAATATATTTGCAGCGAGTAAATTTGAGTTACTCATATTTACTCAAAAATAATCAAAGTAGTCTCGATTTTCTGATCAAAGAAAATATCGTCTGACAGCATATTTCGTTTGAAGCATCTGTTCGCCCATTTGACAGATCAAATCGCTCGTTTAAAAAATCGAATTGTGGACAAACGAAGTGCTCCTGTGGTAGTTTGACCGAGGTTTGACTGCACGACGGTTTTACGGGGCTTGTCGTTCGTGTGTGGCTTGGATGCCTTTCAGTGAAGTTTGACTCATTTACATGGATGAGTGGATTTATATAATGGTGAATAAATATCGAAGGATATTTCAAAAAGAAGAAGTAAACAAATTATTTACCCTTTGTGGAACCTTAACATTAATAATCATGCCATGGCCAACAACCAAAAACAGTGCCGTACCGTTTTTGGAAACACGGCCTCATATGTTTATTTCCTCAATGTTGTGCCCAGAACACAACATTTCATGAAACATCAAGCGTCTAATCCCTAAAGAATGATCGAGTTATGTTATAAATCGAATAAAGCTTTCGATGAATTTATAGATAGCATAACATACAAAAATCATATGTTACCAATAATATGAAGGCACTGTATTCTTATCTTTTTGAAAATCGTGCAGCCTGTATGTACTCTATTATTTTTATATATTCGTGTAAATTACGTTTTCATTGAGTTCCTGGAAGTTAAGAAAAACATATATAAACGTGAACTATATTGCTCTAAGAATTGAATTTATTGAATTAATTTAGCCTAATCCAAACCTATCGAACCACCCCAACCAGAAATTCCAAGAAAGCACGTCAACTTACTTTGCTTGACAGCATCGGTTTCAACATTATGTTCAATATAACAATCAGGTTGCTATGTTTATATAAGATATGGAGCAACGTGACTTGCTCAGAGTTACTCAAAATTAACTCTGGTTTTACTCATGATCGAAAACTGTCTTGCCCCCAGGCTTAGAGTGGCTAATGGGAATGAAACTTGGATGTGATTGCAAATCAAACATGATGTCATTCATAAGAAAAATTGTTTGTAGGATCTGAAGTTGTCTGAATATTGTTATGGTGAGTGCTGAGCTGTTTAACATATAGTTTATTTATTGAGATAGGAATGGCTGCTTTATTGCACATAATCAAATCAGTTCCATGTGGCAGTAGGTCTCGGAGAGGCCTTTATGTAATGGCAGTTAGATGCTTGTAGGATTCAATTTTCTTCCATTGTATTTTTGTGTGAAGAATATAAAAATGCTAATTGCAATAAAAATAGGTTCCTGTACATTTCTGTTAATTTGCAAGAATAATGTTAGTAAAGAACAAATGGAAATTAATGAATTAGTTCTGTTTTACTAAAAACTAAGAGATCTAAATAATGATCAGCTCCGTGAAGCTTAATGTTCCGAGTTGCCTAGCCTGAATATTGTGAGATTTGAGTGTCTCCGAATGTAATTTTTGTTTTTGATCAATGTGGATATGAATATGGTATATTGGCTCTGAGTTGCCTGTATAATATGTTTGAACGAATGAAAATAAACAAATCAGCTCTGGGTTGCTAAAGACGTAGAGAGATCTAAATAATGATAAGCTCCGTGTGGCTGAAGGCTCTAAGTTGCCTTAATATTGTGAGATTTGAGTGTCTCCGATTGTAACTTTGGTTATGATCAATGATATGATATACTGGCTTTGAGTTGCCTGTGTGATGTTTTTGAACAAATGAAAATAAATAAATCAGCTATGTGTTGCTGAAGACTAAGGTCTGCATAATGATTAGCTCCGTGTGGCTTAAGGCTTTAAGTTGCCTGAATATGATTATTTTTGAATAAATAAACATACATAAATCAGCTCTGTGTGGCTAAAGACTTAAAGAGGTCTGAATAATAATATGATCATGTCATTGTTTTGAGATTCGAATCTCGCCAATTGTAAATTTGCTTGTAACTTATACACAAGATGCTACATAAAATAATAGTTATCTGCTCTGAGGTGCCTGTATGTTTTATATTTTAATGGAAATAATTAAATCAGTTATGGTTGGCTGTTTAGTTACATGCAACTCCATGCTCGGAGATTCCGGAATATTGTAAGCATTGAGTGGCTCAAATTAACACAGAGTCTTCTGCATCTAAGATCAGAAAAATCGCAACCGTTTACAGTCAGGAATACGATGATGATAACGGAAATGAGATTGTAAATGAATTGTTTTCAGAATAAGTTTTAGATTTTTTTTTTCTTTTTGCTTAATTTGAAATAATTTAGAGAACAATTTTATATCATTGGATTCATAGCGGGATTGCAAGTCAAGTTCTTAATCGACTCGGGGGCAGAAGTTAATACAGTGGATAAGGAAACTTTCTTTGCTCTGAGAAACAACAATTCCATCTATTGTTTGAGAGATGGTTCGGATAAACAACTTAAAGCATATGCGACGGATTGCTGTATCGGATCGTTGCTATGATGTGATTGTCCTATGCGAGACGTGGCTCGATTCTCGAACGCTTTCCAGCCAGGTGTTCGGATCCGATTATGAGGTTTTTCGTTGCGATCGGAATCCAAACAACAGCCGAAAATCTACTGGTGGTGGCGTTCTTGTGGCTGTCCGTTCCGGATTGGAGGCGAGAGCAATCGAAAATGAATCGTGGAACAGTGTGGAACAGGTTTGGACAGCCATAAAACTGGGCGATCGCACATTATTTTTGTGCGCATTGTACATGCCTCCAGATCGAGTTCGTGATCTTGAACTCATCGAGACTCACTGTCAATCAGTCTTCACAGTAATGGAAAGAGCGACTCCAATTGATGAGCTATTCATTTTTGGGGACTTTAACCTAGCAGGCGTTTCGTGGAGACCATCCCATAGCGGCTTCCTCTATCCAGATCCAGAACGTTCTGTATTTCATGCAGGAGCTATCGGCCTTCTCGATAACTATAGCGTAGCAACGCTTTCTCAAATTAACTACGTAGTCAACGAGAACAACCGTAGTTTGGACCTCTGCTTCGTGAGCACTCAGGACAATGCTCCGTTCATTTCAACAGCACCTTGTCCACTAGTTAAGCTTGTTCCGCACCATCCTCCTCTGATTGTCACTGTTGAGGACAATCTCGTTCGTGATTTCGAAAGTCTTCCTGCTGCGGTTTCTTATGACTTTCGAAAGGCCGACCATCGAAGCATTGTAGATGTGTTGTCAAACATGGACTGGGAGAACATTCTCGATCATGACGACGTTGAGGCCGCTGCGCAAACTTTTTCTCATGTCTTGGCATATGTCATTGACAGACACGTCCCGAAAAGAATTCAACGCAAAGACTCTCACCCTCCCTGGCAGACGATTGAGCTGCGTAGGTTGAAGTCGATCAAGAGAGCAGCATTGAGAAGATTTACGAAGTATCGCACGCTTCCTCTGAAACATCACTACGTGAGGCTTAATCACGAGTATCAGCGAGCCAGTCGTCGATGCTTTCTGCGATTTCAACGAGGTATTCAGCGTAACCTTAAACTTCACCCGAAATCCTTCTGGAACTACGTGAACGAGCAACGCAGAGAATCTGGCCTCCCATCGTCAATGGAATTGAACAGTGAAGTCGCTTCCACTCCGCAGGATATTTGTCGCCTTTTTTCTGTCAATTTTGCCAGTGCGTTCATTGATGAGAGACTAAGTGACGACCATGTTTCCCTCGCAGCCAGGAACATCCCACTAAATGGTCAAACGCTGAGTGCAATTGATGTCAACGTTGAGATGATTTCTAACGCTGCAACGCAGCTCAAATCGTCCTTCAACCCTGGACCCGATGGAGTTCCGTCCGTGTTTTTGAAGAAACATATTGCTTGCTTGTTAACTCCACTTTACCGTCTATTCCGGATGTCTCTCTCCAGTGGTATATTTCCATCCTTCTGGAAATGTGCACACATGTTTCCTGTCCACAAAAAGGGAAGCAAACGAGCCGTGGATAACTATCGTGGAATTACATCGCTGAGTGCTGTTTCGA